TAGAATACAAATATGATTATATAAATGAAATAGAATGAGCTAAATGATAAAATCTAGTAACTCTGTATGTTTTCCAATCCACAGCCTTTCAAAATGGAGGAAAATCCTTAATTGCCATAATACATCATGTGCGGTTCAATGCTGTCCTAACAAAGGTGAATAGCGATTTTCTTCTACACGGTTGACCATGCATATGAAGATACACCAACTCCTTGTGTGACAACGATGACATATTCTTACATACTCTCCACATTACACTGTAAAGTTTAAGTACTGGCAGATGCTCCTTCACCCGCCCCTATCCCGTATCCAGTGAAATACATTTGCATTTTTATATATTTATTACATATCACTGATTAACCAAGACTAAAACAAATTCGCTTGGTTAAGTTTCATGACCTTCTTCGGTTAATGCCCAGCTATTAGATTTCTCTCAAGACAAAACGTCGACTAAGTCTTGATCCCGTTCTGTCCCTCCCTCCCATTTTTTTGCCTCTTTTGTTCGATTATCGCTTTAAAGGGAAACATAAGGAAGGTTCGCCATAATGAGGTCATTGCTTAACAATCTGACGTACTCACTCAAGTGAGCCGCTCCGTGAAAACCCATACTTCGACGACTGTCTTCGCGTTACTCCCGGGCGAGTAAAGTTGGAATAAAGATTAAGTGCTCCACGTAGGTTACAACGAATTTCATCCGCATATTTTTATTTGTTTTTCTAGTTACCCAGGCACATGGCATGATATATATTTTTTATTTTAAATGTATGCAAGTTGAGCTAGTGCAAACTCACACAAGCACTGCACGGCCAGGTGTATCTTTCAACTCTCTCAGGCCGCGATCACAACCAGTTGATCCTCGGACTATCTAGTCCGCGGATCAAATATGGCGCGCACTTGACAGTGGCAATCCCAAGCGTTGAGCAATTTAATGTCGGCACGCTTTCAAGTGTGTCACGTCACATTTGACCCGCAGACTAGTAAGTCCACGGATCATCTGGTTCTGAACGGGGCCTTAAAAAACCTGACTGATGATTCTCGAGGTCACTGCAGGGTGACTGTCTCTTACATGTTTTTATGATTTTCTCTTTGTGAAGTCATACATCAGGGGCTGTCAGCGCGTATCTACCAAATGGGTTGAATCTCTTTAAACCCCTCTGTACTAGTCAAGGTCAAAATGTAAAAAAAGGAAATGTCAAAGGCTAAGCCATGCACTCATATTTTATTGCGAAAAAACAGCATCAATCCTGACACGTTGGACTGGTGGACTGAAAAAAAAAAAAAAAAAAAAACTGGTGATTATACGAGTATGATGGAAACAAGAGGAGGCGTGTAAGTCTGTTTATCTGATTGTATTCAGCCAGAGCCTCCGAGGTGTTTACATTGGATCGATCAACGTAGAACAATACGGTGTGGTTTCATTGGGCATGATCCCTTAATTTATTCGCCATTTGAATATTTCATGGCTGCAGTGCTTGATTCAGTGATAAATTATATATACATAATGAAAGTGTGCTTTAAGGAGAAAGAAAAGAACAACAATCTCAAGGATTTTATTTTGAACGTCCGTTCTATGCTCCGGGCATCATGGGGCTGCTCTCAGAAGCAAGCTGGGGGATGACGGCATTTCTGTGCAAAAAGTCTCAATACCGCAATGTGCTCATACTGTAATTATATATAGTCGGATAAATCACTGTGACCTTGGTAGACGGTGCCATGGGTAGAAGGTATAACACTCTTCTTACTTTCGAGAGATACGTGTTGAAAAAAAAAAAAAAAAAAAGCGAACAGACACTAATATTCTCACATACAGACACATCTGAAAGATAAAACGAGCTTGAAAGTAAATAAAAAGCCGAGGAAGCATCAATTATGGCGTAAACAAGGCAATTATTGTCTAGGTAAGGTGCTGAAAAGTCAAGGTAAATAGGGCAAATGTGTGTGTGTTTTTTTCTTGATAAAATTATATCTGACAGGTATGGATATGTACTAGTTGTCGTCGATCCTGTGACGTCACCACTACCGGTTTCGTGGGATTCGTATTTATAAAAAAGCTTGCACCACATGTAAACATAGTTTTATCTTCCGATAGCGATTTTTTTATATAGAAAATAAGTACACCTGCACGAATTTCTTCGCTAAAGAAGGCAGCAAATGAGAGGAGAAAAACTGATGGAAGCAAGCCAGGGAAACATTTGTTACGTATTAGAATCGGTAAGTTAATAAATTGAATTAATAAATTAGAATTTTCTTTTTTGAGACGTACAGGAAAGTGAGTCGCTTGTATGTCTGTTTGTCTGACGACCTGCAAGTCTGTGTGCCTCGTATGACTGATGAAATAAAGAGAACCATATATAGGTCCTATTCACTGCTTCGCAAAATGAAAGCCATAGCACGCACGGGCACGTGCGGTTGTTGCGCCTCGTGTGCAAAACCCCTTCAATATTACATTTACACTGATGATGAACTGAATGAACAGGTTGGTCGGAGCGAATAGCAATAGAAATATAATTTAAAATCTTTGCATCTCGATCTCCGGGACCGTCAATTCACCAAACAATGACCGACAAATGGAAAAGATCTGTCTTCTGACGTCACGCTCTATCACATTACACTGGCGACTACGAACTCATCAGACAGAATATCGATATTCGTGTTGAGGCCTTCTTGTCCATATATATATATATATATATATATATATATATATATATATATATATATATATATATATAATTTTTATTATTATTCGAGCGCCAGTATCACAGTTGGGAACTTTTGTAGGAGCGGTTAATGGGACATACTTTGGATGGATTATAAATATTTTAAGATAGAATATACTGGTTATGATCTGAACAAATTCAGCTTAAATGTTTTTGCCACTAATATAAGTAGGACACAGGTACAAATAAAAAAAATGCTTGGTTTTGTCGCGTTTTGCTTATGGCAATGTCTTTTTGGTAGAGGGGAGGCTCCACCCCTGAGGTTGTATGGGGGGAGGGAGAGAGAGCACCTGCCCGCTGTCTTCTGGATCCACTTTAGCCAAAAGTCTTGTCACTCTCAATGGCTAGATGGAAAAGTCCCAACAGCACCCTCCGATCCGCAATTAGGGATGAGAGAGGAAGAGTACCTCCTTCCTACTACATTCTCTCTGAAGGTCTCCAGGTAGCTACAGCCTGTACTACATTTATCTTTTATCATAGGTCAAAACCAAAACAGTACTATATGTACTGTACTCCTTTGGTCAAACTAAGGAAGAACTGCCACATCAACGTGCACTCGAACAGCCGGACAAGGACCTCCGCACTTAAACACCCTGCAACAATAAATATTATTCTTTCGGCCACACTAGTAGTCTACAAACTGTCTGACGTGGGATGAACACAAACATGAATAGTCATTCATTAACCATGGGTAAACAGGCCCGTAGCCAGGAATTTCAAAGGGGGGGGGGGGGGTCTTATTCTAAAAAAAGTGGACCTTTTACCGGGAAACCTTCGTTTATCTAAAAAACAAATTACCCAGATGGTATATTTTGCCAGCAAAAAGGGGTTCTTTTGAACCCCCCCCCCCCCCCCCCCCCCCGGCTACGGGCCTGGTAAATATATGAATATATGTAAATATATGAATCGGCTTGCACTGAGAAACACTATGCTAGAAACACTATGTCTTATCAGGTCTCGCACTGTACCATATCATCTCTCACCAAAACTATACCCCGCTAGATATCAGAGGAAAAAGTGTGTGTGTGTGTGTGTGTGTGTGTGTGTGTGTGTGTGTGTGTTGGGGGGGGGAGGACATGTGGTTCAGATCCAGACCCTCCCTCAAGTGCGTTCAGAACTGTATTCGGTGTTTGAAATGCTGTTTTTGTACACACGTGCGCGTGAAAACGTGAAAAATAATCATTTTCAACCCGCGACTTTTTAGTCGCTGGTAAATATATTTTGATGAAAATAAAATGCAGAATAACGGTTTTCATTTTGAAAAAAGTGCCTGATAAAAAAGTATACCATCCCACAACTGTTTTCCCCTCTCTCTCCCTCACTCTTTCTCTCTCTCTTCCTTCTGTTTGTCTTTTTTCTTCCTGTCTGTCTTTCACCCTTTAAATATCTGCGCGTCTTTGTTCTTGCGGTGGTGTTGATGGTTGATTAAAACGGCAATAACGTCTCCTACAGCCATTCCGAAAACGCATGCACGCGCACGCGCGCGCACACACACACACACACTTTACATTTATTCACACGAAGAAGACCCATCAGCAGCTCACGTGACGAAAGTTTGAAGAGGGGAAGGACGAAGAATAGGTGACAACAGAACGCTTGATCGAACGCATGTGACACAGTACAGTATCACTATTTACCCTGAATAACAGCGGGTTTGGGTAATTGATCTTGTTAAAGCAATATGAGAAACGTACCCGCAGACGACAACAGCACGCGGTTAACCACACAGGATTCGCTGCGTGCCAGCAATAACATCACGGTGCGTTATTACGATATTGCGTGTTTTGCAAACAAAGTGAATTAACAAAAAACGACTGGCAATTTATCAAATTAATGGCTACATGTAGGTACGGTCCGCCTTCTCTTCACGTATTGCACTGGGAGAATAATTGATTTGGAAATGAGCGGTTGGGTAATTATGCACATGGATATTTTGATCTAAAAGAAAAAATAATATGAAGTAATAAAAAAAAAAAAAACAAAACTCTCGCAACAATTTGTTGTACCAACACTAGATTTTATAAATAAAATATTTGAAAAAAAATTTCACGACAGCAACGCAATACGCACTCACACGCACGTGCGCACACACCATTTGCTCGATTGGAATTTTTTAAAAAGCGCATTGCAAGCTGAAAAAATATCGTCATCACACAAAAACGAAACATATAAAACACACACTCACATGAATATTAATATAACCTGTGAATAGATACTCTACACGTGGCTATATACATTTGCAGCACGAACTTTTCTTTACATTGATTTCTTATAGATAAAAAATGAAGGGCCGGCGGTGCGACAAGCACGAGTTAAAAGAAAAAAGTTAGACCGCAAAAACATGTGACTGTACGGAACACGTGATTGAACGGAACACGTAATTGAACGGAACACGGAACTAATATATCACGGGCTTTGTCAGGGTTACTTTAATTTCATCAAGTTCAGCTCAGCCAAATGACTTGCCTTGGCATTGTGTTTTTTCTTTATAAGCCTTGCGATAAATAAATCCTTGCAACCCTTTCAAATTGAAAAACGGTCGGCATCGTTATGCACACGAACTACTGTATAGGCTACATATAGGAATCTACCAATGGACCTATTTTCATTTTTTACTTCTGCCACCACGGAGGAACTTTAATCAGTTCTTGTTTTCATGGTGACACTTTCACGTCAGTCTCATCTGGCTCTGATATCCTGGATTAAAGCCAATTGGGGGCCAGTATGACGTCACAGTGTGTCATTATCCTTAATCTTAAGTCTTAACCTTTCCAGGTGAATGAACGGGCGCGAATGTAGGCCAGTACAGTTGTAATATGTAACGATCGCCTCAGATCAAACATATATGTTTTTTTAGATATATTTACCCACCGCCTCAATTTCGCATCAGACAAGCCTCTATATCTGCCACGCACTGAGTGCGCACGTCCCCACAAAAGTGTCACAACCCGCCTGTGCGCACGACAGACAGCCGGGTGCAAAGAAAACACCGGTGGATGTTTTTCTATTTGTTTATTTACATGTTTTGCAAGCGAATTGTCGGCTTAGCTTTTATAGTATGCAAAATAAAAAAGATCAGTCGCTAAGCAAATATGACAAGTAGAATAAGTCATCATAAAAGACGTCATTAAACTGATACTCACGACATTTTAAAATCTAAAAAAAAAATCACTGAAACCTTTCAACCGTGCACGTGTACAACGACATTGTTTTCTCTGATGACACCAGATGGCGTGGGTGTTGTTAACCGAGACCTGGGGAGTGCGTGGCCCCAGACAGCTGTATCAGGGGAGTTATAGATGGCCGGCAGCTGGTCTGCTACCTTCCATCATCTCGGTTCAGGCTACTTTCGAGGCCTTTCACATGGAGAAGGCCTCTGTTGTACTCTGCTGGAACCGCTTATACTTTTATTCACCATATGGTCAATTGGTCATTGTTCTAAAAGGGTCATTGTTTATGGTCGAATTACCGTAAAAAAAGGGGGGGGGGGACATTTGAATCGTACATGCCGATTACTTCACTTTTATTTATTTTCAGACTCGTGGTAAAATACACGTGAAGATAATAGTAATAATAGTTACAGTGAAATGAAATTAATCAAACCAAAATAAAACGGCAGACTGGTTTTCTTAGGGTAACCAAAACAAAAACTGGGGCCTTTAAAAAGTCTGCCACATTTGTTTCTCACGCTTGTTTTCACAGTGTAATCGCCCAGGATTTACCCCCATACTAAGTGAAATATTTTATTGATTATGTCAAAAAGGTGGGTGACATAAGGTCAAGATTGTCTCCGCATATTTAACCCTAACTTAAATAAACAAATAATATAGATCTCCTTCAGCAGCTTGATGTTAACATTAGCATTTGAAGTGTTCTACAACCGCCAGGTTGCCACATTTGTTCATGAGCACGCGCCACGCGCGAGAGTCCTCACGTGCTGACGGGTATGAAGTGAACTTATGCAGACCACGAATGCTTCTAAAAATAGCCAGATAATCTTTAAGTCTCTATTGGTTTGCTCTTTCAACTTTGCTGCTGTGACAAAACAGTGTTGGAGGGGGATTTGAACCGATGCATAAGGAGGAGAAGGAGACTTAAGATTTCCTGGTCTCAGTTCGTTGTTGATGGTGTGTTTGTGACGTCCAGGCGTCCCTGTTAACGCTGCTCAAGGCTCCAGCGCTATGTTTCTCCCTTATGTTTACCAGGGCGTGCCCTACGCTACCAGGAGAGCAAAAGTAAGTCAGAAAGTTGAGCAATTAAGTAGGTGATTTTGAGTGAGGTGTAACGGTTTTCGCATATCATATAGATATAGCTCGTTGGACTGTGCGTTTCTTTATAATGTTTTAGGGTCGTTTTTAAAAGTACACCTTACCGTGCTCGGCACATAGGGTAAAGTCCACTTTCTTTCAGAGATACTTTTTCACAATCTTATCTTTTCTTGATGACGTAGCAGATTTTTTTCTCCTGTCGATTGCCCACCTTTGAATTACGGTTAAAAATATTCTCCGATATTTTCGGTTGCCTTGATCTGTTGTAGCAGCGGCTCTGGTTGACAGGAAAACCACGAGGTTACTCACGAGGCGGCTTTTCCCTGTTATTTGTTTTTCTTCTTCTCCGTATTTGTCACTTGAAGAACTATAGCACCATTTGTGTTTGTGGTGACTGCAGCCTATATGAAAGAAGGCTTACGGTCCAATATTTACAGAATTATATATGTGTTCTCACAGATTAACATTAAGAGTGACCTCAATCACGAACCACCTGTCTTCACGATACCACGACGAGGACGATGTTTACATTTGTTATCTTAGGTCAAGACAAGGCACCGATCATCATCTTCAAAGTAAACATCGGATTAGGTTCGTCTTGTAATCCCTGTACAGCAAGCACGTGTCTCCCCCTTACGACGAATACTGCAACGGTCATAACACAGACTGCAAACGTCTGAACTTGTTTAATATAGCTGCGCTGCGCGAAAGGCGCAAATATTTTTCCTCGTCTTTTTCTCTATTATTTTTCAAGGGCATTTGTTACGCAAGACCCCCCCCCCCACTGTCCTCTAACCGTCCTACTAAAACATTAAATACACCGAATTGCAAAATGATTTTGAAATCAGGAAATATATTTAAAAATTCAAAAGATTATTTGAACAGAAGAGAGGTATTGAAAATTAGCTTTTTTTTTTTTTAGCTTCAGGCCAGAAAACTCTAAAACGAAGTGCAGTATGTTTTTAATAAATGTGTACTAGCAGGTGCACGAAGCAGTGCACCGAAAGGGGCTGGGGATTTTGTGCAGAAAAATCTGTAATATATGGACCGTATAGAAGGTTTTTTGTATTAAAGATAATCATATTTACACAAAATACCCCTGTACATGTTTTATCCTTGGTGGCTTAATGCACAGACGTTCATTCCATGTATGGTTTTAAAGCCAAGGGACATATGGACATTGTATATGTATATTGATTAAACTCCTAACCAATTACAGTTGGTGGCAAGCAACTGCAGCAAGAGCACCAGCAGCGGCCGAGCTCGGAATGAGCCCGTCCTGGAGTCCAAAGACAGCAAGCCGGTGCCGCCCCCTGACGGCGGGTACGGATGGGTGATTGTGGTGGCGAGTTTCTTGAACCAGATCCTGAGCATAGGCGTGCCGTTCTCCGTGGGGGTTTACTACGTGGCGTTCTTAGAAGAGTTTCAAGGCAGCAAAGGGCTAACTGCTTGGATAGGGTCGATTCACACTGGGCTTTTATTTGGAGCAGGTAATAAGAAGGAAATATATACACCTTATCACCTTTTCACTTATGCCCATATCTAGGTCGCTTTTCTGAGAGGGGGTGGGGGCACGACTAGCAATCGGGTTATCTTTGGAATATTTAGCATGTCAGATCCTTTGATCAGTATGTTTTTCTTTTGAAATTGGATTCGTAAAAAGAATAGGTAAGTTTGGACAGAACAAAATTAGCACCAAAAATATGTGAGAAGCACGTCAACTCATTTTGTAGAGTCTCATTAATTTTTTTTTTTTTTTGAATTTGTACATATTCAGTAATTAAATAAACAAGCATCGGTAGATTTGTACATCGCGTTTTTAAAGCCAATAATCAGTAATATGTTCATATTTTTCGGACCGCGTGAAAGATGGGTTTCTCATTAAAAATGAACGTATTATTGTGTTTCAGGCCCGCTGGCGGGAGCAGTCATTAATCGGTTTAGCCACCGCGTGGCGGTCATGATTGGTGGCTTGATGGGAGCAGTTGGTTTTTTCCTCAGCGCATTCTCAACAAGTCTGTACTATCTCTATGCAAGTTACGGAATTGTGGCAGGTAACATTGTGTGTAAATGCTAAGACCTGACGTTATAGCCCGGTGTATGAAAACTCTGTGGGGCCACTTCACAGTGAAACAGAATCTGCTCCCCATTACGATTCACACAGGCAGGGGTTTGGGTAACGAAAGTGGGTCAAATGTAGGGCAATTAGAATAAAATCAGTGAGGAACGGACCCTGTGCAGGACACCGGTGTGGGTTTGAGGCCCTGACTGTGCCTAGATCGCCGTACATCAAGGAGTTCTAAAACTCCTTGCGTACACCAAGACGGTCCTCCCGCCCCATGAAGTAATTGTTTCATGAAAGAATACTGGTTTAAAATAAAGTTGTCGACATTTTATCTTACAAGATTAAAAAGACATCGACGTAAATTGCACGATTAAGATGGAAAAAAACGAAACTATCGAGGTGCAGCAGCTGTCACCGCAACAAGACTTTATTACTTCAACATTAAACTTTTTATAGACCAAAATAAATTATTTGTAATGTCTTCAGCTGTCGTAGATATTTTGCGGATCATTAATGGAAAAAATCGAAACAGTAAATATCTCAAAGTCAGAAAGCATGTAAGAGCATGTTAGTGCACATATTAATTAACCTCTTTGTTCCAGGAGTCGGGGTAAGCCTTGTTTACGTGCCATCAGTAGTTGTCATCGGAGAATGGTTCGAACATCGCCGAAACTTTGCCTTTGGTTTGGCCTCCTCGGGAGTGGGGCTCGGTAACCTGATCATGACTCCAGTGATACAGAAAACAATTGACATATTCGGCTGGCGGGGTTCCTTATTCATTACATCCGGGCTCTTTCTACAGTCATGCGTATTTGGTGCCCTGATGAAACCTCTGAATGGCGGGAAAGGCGCGGAGAAGTTACAAGGGAAGGGTTTGAAAGAAACGTTTCACACGGATATCTTGCACGAGTGGAAGTTCATACTGCTGGCGATCAACCACATTTTGTGGAACATTGGATCTCTGATCTACGTCGTTCTCATTCCTGACTACGCGCACATGCACACAGGAACAAACATGGACACGTGTGCCTTTCTCCTCTCGATATTCGGCGTCGCCAGCTTTACTGGTAGAATTTTGGTAGCTGTGATAACTATAAACAAAAAGATCAGCAGATTTTATTTGTTTCTCACTGCAACTGCAGTTACAGGTGTCGCCATCGCTCTCGTTCCAACCACCAGAGACTACATTCCGTTAGCTACCTTCAGCGCCATCTATGGGTTGTTTTTTGGCATACAGATTCCTCTTATAGCTGCTCTTGCGACTGAGATGTTCGGATTAGAGAGGTTACCAAATGTTTATGGCTACTTTATGTTTGGAGATGGAGTTGGGGCCCTTCTAGGTCCCCCGATAGCTGGTAGGTCTTTTTTTTACTCCTTATAAAATAACGTTGTGCATATGATGCAATGATTCATTAGCAACATATTTAATTTCTCGTATTTTAAATTTCAAATATTTTCAATTAAAAGGGGCGAACAAGCGTATGTAAATTGACGGATGGTAGCAGGATCACCCACCCACACACACACACACACACACACACACACACACACACACCACATTGCTGCTTTTATAAAAATTAACAGATATATATTTACGTTGTTTTACAGGCTGGTTATTTGACCTGACGCAGAGTTTTGAGGCACCATTTTATTGCGGTGGAGGAGTCACAATATTCGCGGCGATAATCATACTCCCGATTTCCCTGTCAAAATTATTTCAAAACAGGAAGACCTGCATTAAAAGTATTACGAAAAGCGCAAGCAGAGTACCTTTGAAAACGTCCGAATCCTTTGTGTAGCTCATTGGCGCCGATTCGTGCAAGGGAAGTCTCCGTTCTTGTAAGGCAATCTGAAGCATATTGGTAGTCCACGCTGCTACCATGGCCCATTCAAGGACACGGTTTCTCGTTTTGGAGGCTAACAGGAGACGTCTATATACTTCGCACAGCGAAGGACTTGGAAGTATCTTTAACACCGTGCGGTAGTCAGTTGCCGAACCATGTACTGGCAATTACGTCACAAGGTTATTTCCTCTTTACAAGACCGCTTCCAACTCTTTAAAACAATAGAAATAAATCCGGTGTGAAAGGAATGGTAGTCCGCTAGGAACCGTAGTCCGTTCTCCATTACTTTGCACAGGTGACATTCGTCCCCTATGCTAACCCCAATACTCCGACTAACCTTAACCTATGTTAATCATACGGGAACCCGGACTTCAATTCCCGGGACTCCCATTCCTGTTACATGTACACCGATTTTTTTTTGGCTGTGGTGATCACGGAAGCTCCGTTTAAGATGACATTCGTACATAATAACCAGGCTATGAAGTTAGGATACTGATAAGTATAAGCCACGATATGACATTGGCCAGAAATTGGAGATATAACTGCTCTAGATCAATGCATGTCGATGAAAGCAATGAAAGGTAGCTTCGCAAGGAATTTGGAATTTGTTGCAGTGCAGGAAAGGGAGTTGAGGATTGTCAACGAAGGCAGTATATTCTGCAAAAAACTAAAGACAAGCGCAGATATACTGGTAACGAGAATATTGCCATTTTGCAAATATTTCTCGGGAATTCAATATTTATTTTACAAGATAAAGCGATCGCAACTGTTTGTCTACAATAATTCAAGCTAACATCAAAGTAGTCCATTTAGATAAATCATGTATTTACCTGTAACCTCGCCACGTATTCCTTGCTATCAAAAAGGTGCACTTTTTGTTTATTTATTTGGACTACTACTGATTTGATGACACTATTATGATATTAATGTTACATGTACCATCATGTTATCAAAGATATGCTATTATGTAAACCTGTAGAATACGCGTAAAAATCGAGTTGCCAATCCGTGCCTAATAACGTCACTTTTCAACATGTTCTACTAGTAGTAAACATTTCATTAGAAATTTATTGCCTGTCAGACTGCGTAACTATTTATCAATAGCAAAGAAGCCATTTATACGTACAATTCGTTCGCAACTTTTCGCCTCTTCTCGCGAGACACCACGTGGTCTCGAATGGGAAAATCGGCAAAATGCAATATCACTCCGTGGCCGTTACGTCCCACCCATTAATCTGTATTTCTCTTGTTTACAAGGTATATTTTTCTAATTATTTTCAAGTTGCTTTATAATTTTAACGATCATATACTGTAATGGCGGTTATAAAAATTGCCGACTGTTGATAAAATGTTAATTAATAAATGGAAATATTACGCAACGGCAGGCGACATGCAGGGTTCTAAGGAAATTGCAATATTATTTTGTTAAACTTTATTAATTTTAATAAAATATACTTCAACCAAAACATAAATATTCTGTTGGTTACCTGACTTGAATCTATTCTGTATCTGTACATCGTTTGGATAAAAAAATTACCGAATATTTTATTATTCCTGTACTTTCTACTGACGAGACATCGCAAATAAACAGAGCAGCTACCGGTATACTAGTCAAAAAAGAAATAAAGTATAGCGCAGCACCTGCGTTATGAATGAATTCCATCCTAGTTTTGATGTTCAAAAATGAATCTGTTAATTGGGAAAGCAGACTTTTAAAGAACACAAAGGTCCACGACAGAGCTGAAACTAGTACACCAGAAACTGATGGCTGGAGGCCTTTAGACTCAGATGTGACGGCTGCGACGAACTGCACTACGTCATCGAACAGATCATTGTGTTTGTTGTGAAACGAGCGTTTTCGGGAACGTAGCAGATAACTATAGCTAATGTTTCAGAATGAAAATAGACGTCATTAAGAACGGATATGGGCTAAAAGGGTGATCCATTATCACAAGTTTTCAAACTTAACGTAAGGGGGTATATGCCCCCGGTACGCTTTTGAGAAATATTAAAAATGATCCAAAGTGCTGTCAAAGATCATCATTTTTTGCTTTTCATCTATTGCTCCCTAAAGGAGAGGGGACAGAGGTTAAGAAAAAAATCTACTCTTTGTAGACTTGTGAAAATGATGATAAAAATGGATGCCCCCTGAGGTACACTTTACAGTGATAAGAATATATTCCATGAAAAACACGAGCTTGGAAGTCTAACACGTCATCCTAAACGGTGCTGTGTGTGTTTGGGGGTGGGGGGGTGGGGGCTAGGTCGAGCACCTTCAACAAGTCATATTTCGTAAGTTAAAATTTGCTTACTCTCATGCGTAATTATTTACTTTGCTGTCATCTTCAAGAAGGTTGTAATCATCTTCTGTTTGATGTGTGGAAATCACTGCAGTCCGGATCTTGTTGGAAGACATTTATTTTAAATTTCAGATACAAAAATGGACACTCGGTATGTACATTGTAATATGGCACCAGTCAGTTTTTTTACCCTTTAAGAGCCAGTCCACATAAAGTGAACATTTGTGTCGCTGCAGTGACACATATTTTGTGTAACTTTTCAATAATTCTGACTTACATTATTTTCTGCCCTTTTTTTTACTATAGTATACTCCAATATAGAACGAAATCAAAAGCAATTAAAACGTGATGTAAAACGGCACTGCAAGTATTGCACAAAATGTGTGCACCTGGGGCGTTCTTTTTGTTCATACTCCACCGTGTTCTTGAGAGCTGCGAGTCCGGCAAACACGTGTTCATCAATACTGTATACATTTCCACCTCTTTTTTTACTCATGGCATATATATTGCATTAATTCTATGTGACTAGGTGGGCTTTTATGGGTACAAATCACAGTAGTATAGTCTGTTAATACTGAGCAATTCCCTAAGATAAGAACAATTTTGCTTGCCAGGCATGCTGGCATCGTTTGCGCTGTAGACCGATTTTACTTCTGCTAGCTAGTCTCCCCAAGTCCTGGAGAGCCAGTGCCGTTGTAAGCGAAGACCAAGTCTGCTCTCCATCCTGTCTGTCTGTTCGTTTTCCTGTTTTGATCCGCAACCACATAAATCGACCTAAATCATATAATATCCATCGGTCAAGCTGCTATCGCGCTACAAGTTGCACTTTTCCCAAGGGTAGCATGGTTTACCTTTATAGATAATTGGCGTCCCCTGTTTTCCAATGTCTAATAATAAGTGAGTGTAGAGAGGTTCGTTCGTAGTCCGTAGTAGTTTATATTTCACGTTATTGAGTCCGTCAATGTGCTGGCGTTTTTTTGCCAGACCCAAGCGTCTGAATCTGAAAAAATATAAAATTTGGTGATTTTCAATGCAATCGTGTACTATAGAATGTTCACATAAAACTTTTCATGGTTATGTAAGAGAGAGAGAGAGAGAGAGAGAGAGAGAGAGAGAGAGAGAGAGAGAGAGAGATTGGAAGGAATAAATAGAGAAAGAGAAGGAAGGAGAGTGGGAGATTTAGTCACCTTTGAGGGTTCCTGTACGCCTTCTTATGTTCAACCATAAAATACCTGCCAACCTCACGTGGTGGGCGAATAAAATGGTAGCCGGAATTTTCTATCCTAAAAGAAAAAAAAGAAACAATTAGGACAAAAATCAAATGCCGAAATATTAAAATATATTGCTGGTTGTTGTTTAAGTTAATCGTTTCCTTTGGTTCTTTAAAACTTTCTTACAAAAGCAATGACATTAGAGTTTAAGACAATTTTCCTGAGCGACATGTAATTTGACGCGTTACTTGTGCCTGCGGAAACCGAGGCTTAGGTATGGAGTGTTGTATTGCGGTGTCTTCTATGTGACGATTGTACTTTAGCTTTAGTTGCTACGCAAGGCAGCAATCACGAGACATTTATCTCCTTTCGGGTCATTTATTATAATTAACTAGTTTCCAGTTGATTCCCGCGCCACCTTCCATTTCTCTCTCTACCCTATTCAATCCCCAGCAGCCTTCGCTCCGTTTACATTTCATGCCTCTGTTTAAGGATGTATTCCCAGAGATTTAGATCGATCCAGAGATTAAGATTTAGATCGACCTAACTCCCTGGGGGTTCACGCTAAATTGCAGTCAGCCGAGCGCGCACCACAGTTAATTACCCCCTTACAGCTTTTAGTAGGCGGGAAAGACGCTTAAGCCGGCTAAGCTGACAGTAATCTAGTGAGACTTCCCACAGGAATAGATCGATCTAAAACCTATGGAAATGGGGTCTTAGTTTCTGTTTACGCATCCTTATGAGGACATGCCAAGCATCTCTACAGAACACATCCCGCTCCTTACTCGTTCATGACTGTCATTTAGAGTGACTCAAACATAGATAAAAGTCTGGCGAGGTGTCTCGCCTTGTTTTAAAGTAAACATAGGGCAGGGGGCTCGGGACAAGCACTGCTTATCAAAAAAGGTGTGCGCAGGGAAGGAGGAACTGTTTGCCTACCTGAAAGCGATGTCGTCGTCTTCACCGCCCCAACCCCAGTACTCATTGGAATAACCGTTCACGTCCCGGAAATGGGAAATGTTCATTTCCAGTACGCCCCCTATCAGCAAGTTATAAAATCCTCTAAAAATAAATAAAATGAAAAATTAATAAATTGTATACAGAAAAGTGATATAATAAACAGGTTAGAAATGTGTCGGTTGTGCTATGTCGCAATGTTGGTCCCATTTCGCATTCAGAAGTCTCGAAGGAAAGAAATGTTTATCTCCATTTAATTATTCATGTAAGGCTCTCGCACGGAACCATTTTACTGACGTTTTCGAAAAACAAATGCGAAGGTAGAACCCCCCCCCCCCCGCTCTTTATACAAGCACATTAAAATATATAGTGCATGCTTAAGTACGTATATCTTATGACCCTAACATCTAAGAGAGATAATGGATCTTTTGTCGCCATAGTTTCAACCACAACAAAGCGCTTCGTTATGAAAGGTACCATGGTAACGTTAGGTGACTTATGAAAATTCCTAGTATTGGAAACGGGGAAAAGGTAGAAATTATCACTCACGTATAGTTGAGAGTGCTGACTAAAACTGACATATGTCTTGGCATATAGGGACAGACGTAAAGATTGCGGTCATTTTCTGGGATCAGATCAGCGTCGTGGAATGTTACACAGTCGAAACTGAATATCTTCTGCGATTCTAAAAACGCTGCGTTCATAATGCGACCTTTATTGAAGGTTTCATTGCCACTCTGAAAATGTAGAAAAATATGATGGTGATAAAAAGGCACAGTAAAAGTAGCTGCCCAGTCAAAAACAATGGTTGTACTTCCATGTACTTAGACAATTGCTACTTTCAAATTAAGTATTTTATATAATTATACCAGTGGTTTCAATTCTTCTGTGTTTACTCTGTGGCCTTTTGTTTGCAAAAAAAAAAAAAAAAAAAAAAAAAAAAAAAAAATTATTGTGATCGAAAAATTTATTTAAATTTTACCACTGTTGAAAAGAGTAAAATAATAGTTCCACTTTCGCATTCACCTATCCCCGCTTATTGTATTACCTGTTCTGACAGAAAGATCCGGTAATGAATTTTCTGTCTCTGCAGGACTAGGTGTAACTGCGGTAACAGCACTCTGAGCGTCTTCCACCTGTCGCGAAATGGTATCACGAAAGCCACACGAGATCTCGCCTTACAGTCACGTGGTTTCCACCAGCCGCCTGGTTGTATTTCTGGATGTTCTTTGCTGAACTGATGCAAGTCGATGCTGTCATCAATTACAGTTTTGCCCACTGAAACATAAGAACAAATTGAGTCAATTGATTTGATATTTATTTCGGAGAAAAACGTAGATGAATGATTTTTAAAAGCCTGGGGTTAAATGTCCTGTGAATAGAATTTTTGCACTACATTTTGACTGAGTTTGGGATTTGCAACCAACTGGATCTTGTACATAGCCTCCATCCAAACGCTCGCACACGCACTCACGCACACAAACACACAAACACACACTATAAAAACCATTAAGCAACCATGAGAGAGATAAAGTACCGTCTTAACATGATAATAAACAAGTATATGATGTTCCATAATTGCACATAGTTAGATATTTCAGTCGCAATCATTCCCCTTTAATACTGAGTCACCATTTAAGGGGCGGGTGGGGGCGGGGCAGTCAGATTTTGTGTAGTATTTTAGGGGGTCCTGATATCAGAGGGTAAATTGCATCTGCCCTGTGGCTTTGTCAGTTTGCTTTGGTGTACCGGACCAAGGGTTATCATTCTTTAAAAGGTTCACAAGTCTAGTAGTTATACATGAATTGCTGAATTGATCTTTCCACCGACAAGTTTTTATCTAAATATTACCTTATCGTCATATTTAGATAAAAAATGTCTGTGGAATAATTTTAAATTCAACAATCCCAGGGTTATCATTACTTATTCATGTGGTCCAAATTCCATGGTCAATGAAGGCGATTAGAATGTACAAAGGTGAAGTATCTAAAAAAGATATTTACATTGTATCTATCGTGTATTAGGTCCCCAAAGGCTCATCCACAATGAAACCATCGTTCTAGATTGATCCAACTCCGCGGGGACTTACGCTGAATGTAATGAAATTTTAATTTCTGTTAAAACAGATTAGGACGCCTCCTCTTGTTTCTAACATACTCGTGTAATCAACGGCTTTTCTGTATTCTACTCAAAACCAGGCGTGTTAATCCGCTAATCTGATGACATTTAGCGAAAATCCCAGCAGAGTTGGATCGACCTACGTAGATTGACAGTTTTATTGGAAATGAGCCCACGACGTAGTGTGAGTCTCTGTATATGATGAGGCATTGCATGTTACCAAGGCTCTGATTCCATATAATCGTTCCTTGAAATAAAAACTGAATTAAGTTAAACCTACATTCTTTACGGGGTAACACGCATCGTACCATTATAACNTGGTATCTGAATAACAGGGCAAATATTTTTTTTTTCGTAAAAAAATTCGTTTTTTTGAAAATTTTGGCCCGTTTGACCTTGAAATAAAGGCAAAGGTCAAATCCAAGGGCATATTTGAAATCTACACATATGACTTTTGGAAAGCCATCTGTAGAAATTTTTCCCATAATTCCTTCTGTAGGGTAGATAATTAGCATTTAACTTTGCCATTTTTAGACAAGGGTGCATTGCAATGAGTGCCACACCTAGACCCCAATACTGACAAAGCCCAAATTTTACGTGGAACGAGTTGAGATTATAGGTGACCTAAATCCAAGAGATGGGTACGGAGGCCCTTACTGTCTAGGAGGAGAAGCGGTAACGGTAGCCGTCTGGCGGAGCCGCAGGAGCTGGCGGAACGATCCGGACGGGACTAAAACCATGTGTACCGCCAGCACTAATGGATAACAGGCATTATCTCTAAAGCGCAATTATCAAAATTACATGAAGGGGAGGCATGAACACAACACTCAAATATCCTGACAACTCCCATCTCCACACTTACTATATCAATTTCCATGTCCTTGAAACTTTCCAAAGCGACTTCTTTGGAGGTGCGGCGGCTATTTGTTCTTGTATTCTTCTCCCCTGGTTTGAACCAGACTCTTTTGATCCAAGGCCCTCTTGGACGCCCTGGTCGCTTCTTCACAGATACTGGAAACGGTAAATTTTGTGAAGACCATGAAAAGAAGTTGTTATATGTCAAGATTATTTTCAAACAAGCTGGATATTTTCAATTTCAATGAGCAGTACTTAGTGTAAAAATTATTCAGGGCAGCACTTTAAATTTTGAAATTCCCGACTATGTATCTGTGACATTTACAATTTTGACCTTTTTTTTTTTAGATAACAACCTGCTTTTTGAGCATCCTCATTTGTGATAGCCATGCCATCATCTACACACGCTGAAGTTCCTGCTTCAGAAGGACCATGTTCACCATCATTTTTTCCCTGGCCACTTGACTTAACTGGCAGTGTTTGGACGGAATGTTCTAGACTCTCTCCTTGGCTGATATGACTCTGGGCGTTTGATTGGTTGTTTTGCTCTAAAGTCCTTGTCTGGTTAGGATCTTCCAAGACAACCAATTGGGTAGGCCCTTCCTGTGCATCTGATTGGTTAGTTCCATTTGGCTGCTGCTGTTCACACGACGTGGCAGATATTTCAGAGCAGTTGTTGCGATTTGATAGGAACTGTTTCAGCTTTCTCTGAGTTTCACTTCTCTGCTTCATTGCAGCTTCCGTTTTGATCCTCATCTTTTCCTTCTCCTCTTTGAGTTTCACCAAACCCTTGCGAAAACGTATCCCTTTGGTACATGCGTATCTGAAAAATACATGCGTGTACATAATGGTAACATTGACAGAAACTGTGATTGCACTGGAAGGGCTCCTTTTGTTGAAAAAAAAATATGTATAAGAAAGAAGGAAATGGAAAAAGGATAGGTTTACAAGTCTGATGAAAAAAAAAATAAACAAAAAAACCTTGTCTTGAACCAAAATGAAAACTGCAGGAGAGTAAGGTATTGCAAAATTTCTTAATGCTCAAATGCTAATTATATAACTTACTTTTTCTTCGTCTTTCTTTTATTTGAATCCGTCTTCTTGGATTCCACAAAATCCTGAAAGAGCAATATTTGCAAAATAGCAAAAATTAGACAGTAGCTGATGTTAGGTTAAGTAAAATTGTAGTATAATCATTACTGATTTTTTTGGCTTTCTTAAAATAATTTTGGGAGGTAAAAGTCAATTTCTACATCACTTAAATTTTGCATCCTTATTCATGTAATATAATTGTTTGAGGAGCCTTTTTGAAGAGAGTGGCAAAAACTCTAGCCCACAGAGAAAGAGATTAATAACTGTGCTTACAGCATTCCATTCATTGCCTTCATTTGGCAGTAATTCTGGTGTACGGATCGTAGATAGAAGAGCTGGCCACAGGAACAGAGAAATGAAACGTGCCTTGAAGATTAAAAATAATTATATTAATCATTATCCATTACATTTGTTAAATTCATCTCAATCTTTAAAGTGGCATTCACATTCTAAGCACAGGTCTTTTTTTTCAACCATATTTTTTCTTAAGTAAAAAATAGGAGCAAAATTGACTTTATTTTTACCAGCAATAAACAATATTATTGATAACCCATTTAATATCAATAATCCACAATAAAAAATTAATTACTTATTAACTTGCAAAAACGTAATATACCTTTAACATTTTATAATCATGGGTTTCACGAATACTTGTCAATGGGTTTTCCTCATACACCACAAAATTCAAGTTATTAGTCTCACTATCTTTTTTAGATTTTTTGGCTTTAGGAGTGACACTTGATGATTTTTTCTTCCTCTTCTTTTTCCCCTCAGTCACAGTGGTGTCTGACGAGTTTCTGTCATTGCCTTTTGCTGTGGCCTGGCATTCGGACAGATGGACCCTGACCATAGGGGAATTGTTGCAGTATTGCCCTCCAACTGACATGAGCTTTCTCCGATCTAATAGGACAGATTTAAACCCATTTATGGTAGAACAAGTTGGAGGAAAGGGAGGTAGATCGTAGTTTTTATATACTGTCCTAGGCGCTTCCTGGATATGCAGTTCTTTTGTCCTTGGGTTTTGGGTATTCTCATTGGTCATTTGCTCTTCCAAATTTTCCTCCATATCACTGCTTTGTATTATCATTGGTGTGTTTTGGTCAGGGGCTGGTGTTTTAACAGAACAGTGGCTCGTCTTTTCTCTGCTTTGTAATGTCACTGTTGGGGTTTCCTTTTCTGCTGGCAATGCATCAGCAGAAGAGTCACTCGATTTCTCTTTTCCCTCATCTGGATTGACACCATCTTTCTCACTACTCTGTTCCATAATTCCTTGACCCTCCTCTTGTTCTGGGTTTTTACTCTGTTCAGCAGTGCTTGGGGGACTTTTATTAGATTTCACAGTTTGTAAAAATTGCCTTAATTGTGGCTGTGCCTCGAGCACGCGTACCAACGTCTGCATATCCTGCTCCAGGTTTACAGCCTTCAAATCAGGCTCCTGGCACACTGCCTCCATCTCTGCCTTTCTTTTACGCAAGGGACGTCCACTTGCTGTGGTTCTTTCAGCATTGTTCCGGGCTTCAGCGGCTTTCTTTTTTCTCTCTTCCTCTGCTTCTTTTTGCTCTTTTAATTGCTGCTGTACCTTGAGATTATGCTCTGCTCCCAGTACGTCAATGGCTTCAGTCTGAAATAAGTCCATAAATTAATTAATTAAATACATAAATAACACAACTATTCATCTCGGGAACAGTTCAGGACTGAATTTTTTCAAAAGAAAGAACAGTCAAACCCGTGTTACGAAATTGCGTAAACAATATATATATATATATATATATATATATATATATATATATATATATATATATATATGTTAATACCACAAGACTTTAAGCTCAAATTTAATAGGCACAGTTATTATGGGAAATTATGTGAAAAAAAAATCATCACAAATGAAATTTTTTATGATAAATCTGTAAAAGACAATCCTTACCTTGAACAAAAGTGGCAGAATCAAGTCGGTCCTTTCATCTTCATCCATATTTCCTGCTGACAAATACTGCACCTTGGTTTGTTCTGGTGTGGTAAATATAACATTGACATTTTCAGCAAGTTATCAAAAAAGCAATATAATCTAAACAAAGGTGATATATTCATATTGAAACCTAACCTCATCATCCATCTGGTTATTATTCAGACAAAATTGTTTAAAATTACTAATGAGTGCTACCCACATCACATTGTAACATATGGTCATATGAACAAAGAAAAGGCCCCTTAAGCAGGCACAAATTCAGAAACTTCTTTTTCCCATAACCAAATGTATTTAGTGAATGTCATTTAGGTTTAGATGAACATAATGAGTATAGCAAATAAAGAGAACCACAGGACCACATACTTGAAACTCACAAACACATGGTATACACTTTGATCTCCTAGGAGTGCAGATGATAGATATTCAGTGTTCTCATTTACGGCGTCCCAATATGTAAAAAACGCAATGAAATTAAAAAGGACGTAAAATAATCAACACCCTTTCGTCCCAGGGACGAAAAAAAATGCGGTCCTGTTTAGGCGGGTGATTAGTGGGAGAGATAAAAAAAACAACTGAAAGGGATGATTATCTTAATGACCACGGAAATTATACAGAATGAGTGATGTGTTTGGTGAAACTAGCGTATTAATTTACAAAAACACACCGTGTTTGGCAGTTTGCTGGGCCTGTCACGTCACTTAGTGCGCCATCTACCGAATGACGCAATACGCAAAATGGCGCTCATTACGGCTGAGGTTATCCCTGACGAAAAAGACCGAGGTGTGCCGAATGCAGGTGGTTGTAATGTCTCAAAATGGCGCAGTCCCATGCTAAAAAAAAGATCCGGACTTTCAACAAAACCTGGCTGGAAGATCCCAGTTTTAAAGACTGGCTTTATGTCACGGACAACTTTATGTTTTGCTCCATTTGTAAACGTGCCAAGAAGAGTAACGTTTTTACAACTGATCCGGGATGCAGTGATTACCAGAGATCTACACTTGTTCGACACGTGCAGTCCGAACAACATAAGCAAGCGGCTTCTACTCTTAAGGGCCAGTCAGCTCTACAGCGGGCTATATCCACAGCGGAACAAAAAACAGATGACAACCTCGGTCATCAGATGAAAACTGTGTACTTTTTGGCATCTCATAACTTGGCTCTAAATCTCTACCCGGACCTTTGCCTACTTCAGTCAATGAAGGGACACTATACGTCAGCTGGAGTGGTAAATGAAATGGTTCAGTGTCTGTCAGATACTATTGAGGATGACATGAAAAATGCCATAGAGAAAAGTAAATACATAGGCATTCAAGTGGATGAAAGTTGCGACATTGCAATTTTCAAAAAATTGATTATTTATGTCCAGACTGTTGTAGGTGGAAAAGCCAGAACNATTGAGTCATTACCGTACTGTAAATGATCTTGGAAGCATTCAAAGTAGTTTTAAAGTCAATATTTCTAAAACAGAAAAGTACTGGTTTTATTTGACAGAAACTTACTGAGTTTCGTTCTCTAGTAGACTAGTCCTGGTACAATGAGTCTGCAGAATTTTATTTTTAAAAAGATGTTTTGTAAGATGTTATATTTTTATTTTGCTATATTTTTACATAATTTTGACCTGTTACATGTATTTCAATAAACACATTTGTGCAATTCTAAATGGTACTTATTTTTTTTTCTTCTTCAAGAGAATGACTCGAAAAATTTACATGGGACTCACATTTTGTCAAACATGTGAGTCCCATGGACTCGGATTTTAAAAAGATTATTGAGAACACTGGAATTTATTTGATATTTTGCTGAAATCGCTTGTGAACATAGACAAAATAAAAGGTGAAAATAGGCTGTAAAAATAGCCAGCCCGTCGGGCGGGTAATTTGCAAATCTTACCCGCCCGGCCTGAAAGTTACCAGCCTCGGGCTGGCGGGCTGGCGGCCATTTCATACACTGTTTTAATGCAATATTGCATAATGCTTAACAGCATAATGACCATCAACTTTTAATAATAAAATATATGTATAATGGATTTTCAGAAAATGTGACTAGCATGGGTCTTCAAGCCCGTGGAGGTTCTAAGTCACACTTTGAAAATGCCAATATGTGAAAAGTTAAATTTTCACAAAAAAAAACTGTTTAATTGGCAGAAAAAATTTACCAAAAAGATTGCATTGCTTACTGAAGCTGCATTTTAGTCCTGTGATTCTTTCCTTTAAGTTTAAGAACAGTAAGTGACATGGTTTTCCTTACATGGTCATCATGGGAGCAGTGCCCAAAATAGGGGTTTCTTCAAATTTTGATGCAACATTACATAATGTTTAACAGCATAATGACCATCAATTTTTAATAATAAAATATTAGTATCATGGATATTCAGAAAATGTGACTAGCAAAGGTCTTCAGGCCCATGGAACTTCAAAGTCACACCTGGAAAATGCCAAAATGTAAACAAGACAGCACTGTTCTGAAATGGGTGTTTTCCCATTTTTAACAATTTTTTAACATAAAACAAAATTAACAGTTTACTGCCATTTTTATATGATCAACTAAGAAAATTGATGAGAGGGGAAAAATATCAATAGAATAGTGTTAAATGTCCAATTTCCTCCATTCTGAGTTTCTGAACATAGTGAATGATTCAATCTGACAAACTGAAATGATATGAGTTTATTTCCATTTTTGAAACTTTATTACACAATGCACGATAACAAGTTTACCATCATTTTTACAAAATCAAAACACTGTGGTAAAGATGCAGGATATGTCAAACAAACACTTTTACGTATCTTATTAGTTAAATAATGAGACTGTTAACATGCCTAAGAATTGAATCTGAAGAAATTTGAAAAAACAGCATAACTTCTAAAATAATGGCCCGATTATGCTGATTTTCGAACTCAACCTGTGTTTAAGTAAGATTGACCACTACTGTGAGTTTAATGACAATTGGTCTATCTGTTTTTATGTACAGACACAGATGTAGGGAAGTTATGCATTTTTTTCAGCATAAATGCAACACCGATAACACGATAAGTGAAAAACTGTTTTACCTTTTGGCTTGAAACTTACAGAACTGATGAATATTCATAATACGCAGGTCAAGTTCGAAAATCAGCATGATCGGGCCATATTTGTGGAAGTTATGCTATTTTTTCATTTTTTTCAGCATAAATGCAACACCGATAACACGATAAGTGAAAAACCGTTTTACCTTTTGGCTTGAAACTTACAGAACTGATGAATATTCATAAAACACAGGTCAAGTTCGAAAATCAGCATGATCGGGCCATATTTGTGGAAGTTATGCTATTTTTTCATTTTTTTCAGCATAAATGCAACACCGATAACACGATAAGTGAAAAACCGTTTTACCTTTTGGCTTGAAACTTACAGAACTGATGAATATTCATAAAACACAGGTCAAGTTTGAAAATCAGCGTGATCGGGCCATTTTAAGGGAAGTTATGCTGTTTTTTCACTTTTTTCAGCATATATGCAGCACCGATAACACGATAAGTGGAAAACCATTTTACCTTTTGACTTGAAACTTACAGAACTGATGAATATTCATAATACGCAGGTCAAGTTCGAAAATCAGCATGATCGGGTCACTTTTAGGGAATTTATGCTGTTTTTTCACTTTTTTCAGCATATATGCAGCACCGATAACACGATAAGTGGAAAACCATTTTACCTTTTGACTTGAAACTTACAGAACTGATGAATATTCATAATACGCAGGTCAAGTTCGAAAATCAGCATGATCGGGTCACTTTTAGGGAATTTATGCTGTTTTTTCACTTTTTTCAGCATATATGCAGCACCGATAACACGATAAGTGGAAAACCATTTTACCTTTTGACTTGAAACTTACAGAACTGATGAATATTCATAATACGCAGGTCAAGTTCGAAAATCTGCCTGATTGGGCCATTTTTTTGGAAGTTATGCTGTTTTTTCACTATTTCAGCATATGTGCAACACTGAAAACACATTTCAAGGAAAATCAATTAGCCAATCGTCTTGAAATTCACAGGGGTGATCAGATTTACTAAAATACAGATGAGGTTCGAAATTAAGCTTGATCAGTTCAGTTTTGGTGAAATTGTGCCTTTTTTAAGTCTTTTTTCCTCGGATTTAATTCTTAGGCATGTTAACAATCTCATTTGTGAACTAATTAGTAATGTAAAGGTGTCCTTTTAACATTTTCTGCATCTTAACAATATTGTTAGTTGATTATATAAAAATGATGGTAAACCTGTTATTGTGCATTGTGTAATAAAGTGTCAAAATGGAAATAAACTCATATCTTTACAGTTTGTCAGATTCAATCATTCACCATGTTCAGAATCTCAGAATGGAACAAATTGGACATTTAAAATTGTTCTATTGATATTTTTCCTATGTCAACAACTTTCTTAGTTGATCATTTAAAAACGACAGTAAATTGATTATTTTGATATATGTAAAAAAAGTGTTGAAAGTGGAAAGAAATTCATTTCAGTACAGTTATCTCCTGTGTGCNTTTTTTTATTTTTTCTTCTTCAAGAGAAGGACTCGGAAAATTTACATGGGACTCACATTTTGTCAAACATGTGAGTCCCATGGACTCGGATTTTAAAAAAAATTATTGAGAACACTGAATTATATATAAATATGATATGGAATAAGAGACCAATACTCATATAATGTTGAGGTCCTCAATACCTTAAACATATATAATACCATACATAAATTGATAATACCATACATGTGGTCAAGACCCCAATAAGTACCATACAAGCAGGCCATCACCTGATAATATCGAGGACCCTTATACAAGATTCAGTGTCGCCTGCAAAGTTCCTGGTTGGTGAATGTAACAAACAGAGTGGGCAACCGGTGCAAAGATAACTCTAATAAGATGGGGTGCCAACTACGTGTAGTAAAATTATGCTTGATCCCCCTGTTTCAGTGCCACCTGCTCAGAGGGGTAAGAAGCAAAAATAGAAAAAAGGTTATGTTTGACTGTACCCGTCCTGCACATGGGATTTTTAATTTCTTACCGAGCAAGTACTTTTAACCGTTAAAGGATCTAAAGGGTTTTAAAGATATTTTTTCATCTGCCTTTTCTCATTTTAACAATAAAATAGGATTTTTGCAACCGTATTGTCACTTTGAAACTTTATACATTTTACCAGAATAGCGATCCAATTTCCTTCAAAAGTGAATTTTAATCTGTAAATTAATGGATGAATAACTCGTTATATATATATTTTTATTTTAAAATCGTTTTCAGGCATAAACGTTTTGTACATATTGCGAATGGGTTGATGTCAC